CCCCATCTCTCAGCTGGGTCGCGGGGGCGGGAGCGGCCCGGTCGCCCCCCGCGGCAACTCTCAGCCGGTGGGGAGGGCCCGGCCTGCAGGACGCCTCGCCTTTCGGAGGCCATCGGACTCCTAAATTCCCCTCTTTTAGCAGAAAAAGGGGAAGCTGCAGGGTCCCCTAACGTGGGAAGTTAGGTCCGACGTGAAAAATGGGCTAATGCTTTTTTTCACCAGATAAATATTTTTGTGCCCCGCTTGCTTGCATGCTGAGGGGGCGAACCGACCCCTCCAGGTCTTCCTCACAGAAGCAGATGAAAGCAGGCTTTGTTGCGACTCAAAACCTGCCAGTTATTCCTCAATACTTAGGATTCATTTATTTGCGTTAAAACTTCTTAAATGGCCTTCTTGGTTAGGGGATTCTAGTGCCGGGTGATTGCACAGAGGGATGAAAAAATTACTAACATACAGCTTGATGTAGCATACAGAGCATGCCAGGTTTTAAATATCAAACCCAGGAATTTACAGCACTGCTAAAGGTGAAGGAACTCTGGGAAGTCACCGTGTGTCGTACAGAGCATGGAAACTTCTAAATATCAAAACAAAAAACTTACAGCACTGCTAAGAGTGGAATGCTGGGAAGTCACCATGTTAAAACACGTTGCAATCTGTCTCTGCTGGTAGATGTGCTGAAACAAGCTTTCTTACCCATCTCTGGTCAAGCATGTGAACATCAAGTTCCTTGTTTTGGGTCTTGCTTTCGACTGTAGATATCTTAATCTCTGTAAAAGTAAACACTTTGGTGACTAAGTGAGATCTGGAGTGTGCTGGTCTGGTTTGACCACTGGAAAGTCTTAAAGCTAGTTTTCAACAAACATAGAGCATCCACAAAAAAAGCTGATAAAAACTTGTGTAAAATTTTAATGCGGCTGAGATGCAAAGATTCTGCAAGGGAAGAAACTGATCCTGACAATTTTAGAAAGGACTTTGTATTTCTGCTAAGCTATCCTGGTCACCCAATTTTAGTTTGAAGAGTTTAATTCTTAATATTTATATCAGAAAATTGCTTGTTTGGTCAAGGTCATAAAGTAAATAGCCGGGGATTGTAAAGACAGCAGTATCAGAGCTGAACTAAAGCAGCTTTCCCCATGTTTTGTTGTAATGGTGGTTCTCATGTTCTGGTAATAGTGTGCACAGTGAAGTACTGCTTTAATAATCAGTGCACGATCTGATCTTCCGAAGTGCCTAACTAGCAATTTGAGGTAGGTGTCAGCCAGTAACTAGTTAATGATCATTTATGCGTGAGGGGTGTATACTTAAAATGTCACACTGCGCAGTATGATATGACAGGAGAAATACAAGGCTCAATGCTTCTGCAAACTAACTATTCAAGCCTGATTAACTAGTGGTGTTTTTGTTGTGTTTCCCCCCCCTTACAGAAGGGGTCCTCGCCGGTTGCTCCGGTTCACATTGTCAATGAAGAGTCAGCTGACAAGACTAACTTGGGCTTTATTCATGCATTTGTGGCTGCTATATCAGTCATCATCGTATCAGAACTGGGGGATAAGACCTTCTTCATTGCAGCCATCATGGCAATGCGGTACAACCGTTTGACTGTACTGGCTGGTGCTATGCTTGCCTTGGGACTGATGACATGTTTATCAGGTTAGCACTCTTTTCTTCTTGTTTCATCTCTTAAAATGTGCTGGGTACATATTTATCAATAAATCTTAATTGAAATTAAAATGAAGGTAGTAGGTATATGCAGTTTTCTGTTTTGAGGAGAGTGTGACGGTTTTCCTGGGGACCATGGCTCAGATTGAATATTTAGGCTCTTACCTGTAATGAGGTGTTTGTGCTCCCTAGACCTCACTATGAGTTTAAGGAAGAGAAATGGGATTGGGATCCTAAGCGCTTCCTTTGATTTTTGGGCCACTACTTTCCTTTTTATTTTTAGCTTCTCTTAAATTAGCATGCCTAAAGGGAGTGTGGGAGTGACTTCTCTTTTCCCTCCTAAGGCAACAGATTCTTAATATGATGACAGATTTCCCTTGTCTGACTTGTGTCCCTGTATGTGTGGCTGTTTGGATTTCTGCTGGGAGCTGCGTAAGTGGAAGATGACGTTCTGCTGTGATCCTTTGGGATGGGTGGTACTAACAGAGCCAAGAGCTGGCGGGGGGAGGAGTGAGGTGTCAGGTGGCACTTGAGGAACCTGTAGCTGCGGGTGCTTACGTAGCTGTGATTGTAAAATGGAGCAGCCTTCAGGTACATCAGATGCAGCATAAATTTTGTGGTAGATGTGTTCATTTCTAACTATGCCCATTTTGGAAATAATTGAAATAGTGTTCATTGGTTTATATGCACTGGAGACAGCCGATTAACTGGCTTCAGGCTTGTTGGGAAGTGTTTCTATGAATGGTTTTTGGATGTGTAGCTATTGCTGTATATATTGCTGCAATTATTGCAGTCTTGGAGCAGTTTCCATTTGCACTGTGTGTAATGATAGCATTGTATGAGTTTCTTCTACTACTCACTTAGTGTAACAGTCTTTGATGCTTCTTCTGCTTCTGCACTTCTTGCTTCATTTAGTGTTATTTAGTACCGCAGGCAATGCACTAATCGGTAAATCTTGTAATCTCTTTTCTCCTGCCCATTACGGCTCTCCCATTTTCTATACTAAGTCTTTCTTCAAATCTATCTTGATGCTTTTTCATAAAAGCTTTCTTTTCTGCTTTATCCCCCAGTTCAGAGGTTCCCAACTATTTCTTCCTTTTCAGAAAGGAGCCTTTTTTCTTTTCTTCTCCCCCCCCTGCCCTTGTTTTATACAAGCTGTGTCTGGAAACTCCTGGGGTTTTTGCCCACCTTGATTTCATGAAAACGTGCTCACTTAAACTCACTGGCTCCAAGTAATCACTACTTGGGGTGTTTTTTCAAGCTGTGCTTAGAGACAGTTCTACCCTTATGACAAAATAAGCTGCCTTATCATTCTGATTATTTCTATGCTTGTATATGCAAGTAATGCTAACAAAAAAAAAAATCTTTTTGTATAGTTCCTTGCATTGCTTTATTTTAGTATTTTCGGTCTTTAAAAAGAAGCTTAGTTTAACTCCCTTTTTATTTAGCTGTGCAACCAATACTGTTATTCATATACATGTGCCATGTTTTCTAATAGTACAGCCTGATTAACTTTGGTCTCATAGCGTTACTTTTGGTAGTTGCAGTGCAGATTAATTTCCAGATTATGTAGTAACTTCTGAGTGAATTTTTCAACTAGGAAAGTGTGTGCAAGAAAATACACATGGTAATATGCTTCCTTTTAGCTAATTGCACATGGAGTAAAACAACAGAAACAGTTGTGAGTACATGGTCCAAGCAGCCATGAATGTTGGGTGAGGAGTTTTAACTTCCTCTCATTTATACAGGCCTTCTTTGTCCGAAACTGCTAACTAGTCTTACTTTGTGAAGAAGCAAGTACTTTGTCCTGGATACATATTTCTTCTTTGAGAACTAGTTTTGGCTTAGGTTGATCGCCTTCAATACCCGTAAAAGTAGATGCACCGTGGAGGTAGCTTTTTGGTCTTTGAGTGGGATCAGTGCTTTTAAATTAAAGGAAGATCAAAGCTGGTCACGTTGTGTGTTTGTGGGGAGTGTGGGAGAGAAGGGAATAGTAACATGCAGGTATTTGCACTTGGCAAAAGAAGACAGACGTGGATTCACGCAGCTGAATGATTTGTGGGTATGTCTAGCAGATTTAACTTGCAGAAAATCTTATTCTAACTTTATCTGATAAATGAAATGATTGGAAAGAGATGCTATCCAACATGTAGTCATATAAAAAATGGAATTAACTGGTATACACCATGACTAATCTAACATGATTACAGATGATAGTTTCATGGCATGCTTGGAGAAAGGCAGGACTTGCATAGTCCTTGATGGGAAAGATAATGTTGCTTGGACTGGCTCTTGGGAATAGCAGCACATCAACTTTGCCTGGTGTGCCTTGTCTGTGTGTTAATAGACTTCAGTCTCTGGTACGACCAGTAATGGTTGGAGTTACTAGAGTGTTGTTATCTTGCAAAAAAACCCTAGAAAATTATGTAAAACTAACAGAAGATGCAATATTTATCAGTGGATATTTGAATCACAGACTTTGCTAGTGAGCATTTCTTAGATATGGGAAAAACAATTATGATCCTTATGCTTATTTTTTTAAATGACACATTTGTTTTCTTTTCAGTTTTATTTGGCTATGCCACCACAGTTATTCCTCGTGTGTACACATACTATGTGTCAACGGCACTGTTTGCAATTTTTGGCATCCGGATGCTTCGGGAAGGCTTGAAAATGAGTCCAGATGAGGGTCAGGAAGAGCTGGAGGAAGTTCAAGCAGAAATTAAAAAAAAAGATGAGGAAGTAAGTCATAAACTTTCTGTGAATTATGGCTGATGAAATAGTTACAGCTGTGAAGCTGCAGAACGGCACTGGCATGTTTGGGGGGTTCAGTTGTGTCTGTGATTGATAATCTGACACAGAAAATGTCTGGTAAATGGGACAGAAGTGGCCCCTGGAGGCTGTTTCAACTGGTGATTCCAGTTCTGTGGCAAGCCTGGCTTCTCAGGAAAAAAGGGACTTTCTCCACAGAGTCCTTTGGGGTTTGGGGAGGGGGGTGCGTGTGTTAAGCATTACTAGCAGAGAGGATATCAACAGTTTACTCTTGCCTCTACTTTTATTTCTTTTCGTGGTCAGGCAGAATAATGCTGAGGTTTGTAGTGTTGCAGCGGAGGTCTCTGTTGTAATAACTTTCTAAATATACTGGTCCACTTCTAAGGAATAGTGTGGAGTATTAATCTTATTTCTTTCTCCCCCCCCCCCCCATTAATTTTATGAAATCCTAATTTGAGAGCCACAACCTGGGAAGAGGGGGATCCCTGCTTTAAAAATAGGAGGAAATCTGTGGTTAGAAACTGGGCATCATTCCTACTGAAACTGCTGCGTAAATGCAGGCAGTGCAAGATGGACGATAACTGGAGGTTAGAGGTCATTACAAGTGTATATATGTATGTGTGTATATGCACACACGTGTGCGTGTGTGCATATATACAGCTAGCTAGCTTTTTAAAATGGTGTCTAATATAAATAATACACTGATAATGCAGTAGTCAGTGGCTAATAACATTTCAGATACTAGCTTTACAGTTTAAGTATTTCATTTGGGTTGTTTAGATAACATTTCTAATCTTATGGTTGGGTTTGTTTCCCCCCCCCCCCTTGTCCTCTGCAGCTTCAGAGAACTAAACTGTTAAATGGGCCAGGAGATGTGGAATCAGGGCCAGGCACTACTATACCTCAGAAGAAGTGGCTACATTTTATTTCTCCAATCTTTGTTCAAGCTTTTACTTTAACGTTTTTAGCAGAATGGGGTGATCGTTCCCAATTAACAACCATAGTCTTGGCCGCCAGAGAGGTGAGTGTTGCAGAATGCCCACTGTTCTTTTGCCCTCTTTGGGTTGCCTGCAGAGAAGCGGGAGAGACAAAATACTCTTGCAGGAGGTATCAGATTCACGCCTGCTGCCTTGCTGTGCCTTACTTAGTGTTACAGATGTGCCGACACCTGAAAATAAATGCACTGAAGCTCTGTCTATTATTAAAACTATTGTTACATGATTGGGACTGCACAGGCATTTCTGGAAGTAGTTTTATATCATGCAGCTGAATACAATTGTTTTTGTTACAGTGTTGAGAGATGTTACAGAACCCCTTTTTCTTTGATCTGTGTGGTCATACAGTTTTAACACAGTAGCTTTAAAAAGAGACCTTCGTCCCAGCAAACTTAAAGCTGTTAAAAAGATGCCTCTTTTTAAAAATCTAAGTGACTACGATACGGTGTATAGAACTAAAATAAACTCTAAACTGCTGTGCAGTAATACTGTAAATGAAATGACATTCAGCATGATGATTGGAATGTATATGACTGTATTATATTTAAAGGAAAATTAAGGCTTATAGTCAACCTTTTAATAAACATAAGTAGCTTGCCTGTGCTCTTTCATGCATTGAGATAATTTACATTTTTCCCTAGGACTCATACTTCTTTCAGTGCACTTTTAGACCTTCCCTAGGGATAAATCAGGCATGCGTGATGAAGGAGGCTATAATCTGTAAGAACCTCTTTATTACAGTGCAGGGAAGGTGCTTAGAGCTCAGGAGGCAGGGAACAGCAGGACAAGAGGATGATCTCATTGTTCAGGCAGTTACATGCCATCTTGGAAAATGAGGAATTATTACTGCCTCTGCGCAAGTTTTTATATGGTGCTAGGCAAGTTGCTTAAGCCTATCTTTTCACAGATGGTGGTTGATTTCTGGGTTGCATTTTCTGAGTGTCCAGTTAGGAAGTGTCCATCAGACTCTGTGGTCTGATCTGTGAAGTGCTGAGCATTGCAAGTAAAGACTGTGGATGTTGTGCCTTTGCTGTATGTGTTTGTATAAGTGCTACAAAAACGAACACTACAAAAAATGAATTGAAGGTATCTTGATCTTGGCTTTCAAAATTAGTGAATGATTATGATCTGGACCTTTTTTCACTTTATCTGTGAGATTCTTTTATACCCCTTTGTTTCATAATATATTCAGATAAATCCTAGTTTGTGAAGTACTAAGATACATAGCAGGAGTACTACAGCAGTGCTTATGGGGAAAGAAATTATCTTCTTAGAGATTTGAGTAGTGTGGTAAGTCAGCTGGCACCATACATTCTTCAGTGAAAAGAAAACAAAATACTATGTGAATGTTCATTAAGTGAGTAGTGTTCATCTTGTCACAACAAACAAACAGGGCTCCTTAGGAGGGGAAAAAAGGTGATAATTTGGCTGCCTCGGTGTATACACCAGGGGAAGGAGTTAAGTCTGTCTTAACCTAATCCTGACAACAGTCCTTAAGAACTTGATTTTACGCCTTAATAGTTTACTGTGTGTAAGAATTGTTCATCTGTTTAAGGAAACAGAAAAGGAAACTCCGTAGTGTCCTACTAGACTGGCTTTGCCTCGGCTGCTGCATCTGAGCACTTCTGCTCCTGGAGATGCTACGCTGAGGGAAGCCGTCCTAACTTGCTACCTTCAAGGGACAGCTCTAGGGAATGGGGGGTGTGAGATCTACCCTCTGCCAGTGGGGGCTGTACAGGTAACTGCTGCCAGCAGAGGGAAGCAGGGATTTCCAGGAACTTTGGGTCCTGATCCTGATCCTGGAGGCAAGTGTGTTCTGCTGGCACAGCCCTGCTTCTGACCTGTGCTTCTTGGTGGTTTCCTACCTGTCCTCTGCTCGGTGCTCGCCACCTTTTCTCACTGGCATGTGGTTTTGGTTCTCTTGGCCAGTCGATGTTGTCTGTTTTCTTCGTACTGTATCATTTCCTAGATAGTTTTGCTGTTTGCCTGTTAGAGATTTCATGCATTCCTCATGTGAAGGCAGCAGCTTTTTTTCCTCTTGGAGCTAAAAGTCTCACTTAGAGATGTGGAGGGGACTCAAGTCCACTTTCCGTCATTTATCTTTGCATAGCAGAAAGTCATGCTCCTACCTTGCCTTCTTTATCAGTCATTAAAAGATTGATTTCTGTTTCAAATGCTGAAGTCTTCTGTTTTTGAGCTGTTCAATACATATGCTGCCCTTAACTGTGTAATTTGTAAGTAGATCTGAGAAACTCCTTCACGTAGCAGACTTGTTCACGTATTGAGTAGCTGTTTGTTATGCAGTGATGTGAAAGCTGTCATTGACAGTAAACTTTGAAAACAATTTATTATCCTCTGGACTTACATTCTTTTATACTTTCCTCTTTGGATGATTGGGGGGGAGAGTGTAGAGCACAAGCTTGTGAAGCTGGACAAAGGAGTCTGTTTTAGCTGCTGAAAGCTTTCATTTGCAGTTCATGGATTTATTTTTCTCTTTCTTTATAATTAGGTTGGTGTTCTTCCAGCTGATGCATATTGTGTTTCTCAACAGCTGCCGCCTTCCCTCTAGAGGTTGTTTAATTGTTTAAGTACAGCAGAGTGATTTCTGGATCTATATTTAACGACTTGAAGATGCTTCTTGGTTGAAACATGCCATATGCTCCTATATTAGTCAGATTTAGATTTAAGTCTGTCTCGCTAGCTGATGCACACTGTTACTGGCCTTTAAGGCAGTGATGGATAGTAGAGCAAACACCAGAGAGTATCTTCCATGCTTGACAGTGTGCAACCAAGGAATCAAGGCATTGCTCCTTCATGGCAGGAGGTTGCCGTAGGACGAGTGGGTTTTCAGCCATGCTGATGCTTCTCTTCTGGTTTTTTTTCCCCACAGGACCCCTACGGTGTGGCGGTAGGAGGAACAGTGGGACATTGCCTATGCACTGGTTTAGCAGTTATTGGAGGGAGAATGATTGCACAAAAAATTTCTGTTAGGACCGGTAAGTGAAAACTCACTCCATCCAAAAAAAGGTGTTAATGCTGGTAACGTCTATGGTGTAAATGACTACATGCTTGGGAACAGTGTTTCTCAAAACTTATGGAAAACGCAAAAACGTTTGTTTGTGGGCTTGTTTGTTTGGGGTTTTTTTTTTGTTTATTGGAGGGAGAATGATTGCACAAAAAATTTCTGTTAGGACCGGTAAGTGAAAACTCACTCCATCCAAAAAAAGGTGTTAATGCTGGTAACGTCTATGGTGTAAATGACTACATGCTTGGGAACAGTGTTTCTCAAAACTTATGGAAAACGCAAAAACGTTTGTTTGTGGGCTTGTTTGTTTGGGATTTTTTTTTTGCCTTGTCTTCCGTCCCACCTCCCCCCGCCCCATAGTCAGCTCCCCTCGTGGGGGGGTGACCCTGGGCTGTTCCCAGGGCTGCATGGCCCTCCTGCCAGGCAGAGTCCGAGCGCGTGCCACCACCCTGCGCGGGCTGCTTCCAAGGGGTCTGGCCTTAATTGAACTTAATGGTTTACTGACTGATTTTAAGGAATCAAAATGGGTATTGTAGCTCCAGGTTTAAAGATGGACACAGGTGAAGCACACTTTGCTTCACTATTAGCTAGCTTGTAGGAGACCAGAGGAAGGAAATACAGTATTTTGAATAGTCGGTATGTATTGTTCAACAGTGGGTGATAGAAATTCTGTCGTAATACTGAGTGCAGACCTTCAGGTGGGCAAGAGAACTTCATACTTGCAACTTATGCCGTTATATAAAAGCTTTAAAAGCTACTCTGTGTGGCATAAATGGTTTGGGTTTTTTTGTCATACCTGCCATCTGTAACAGGAAGTACCCGTAAGGTTACACTGGGTTGGGCTTTTTTTTCTTAGATTAGTTTTCAGCTTGTTTCAACTGTCAGTTGAAACTGTCAGTATTCACTTACCACAGGAATAGTATTTTTAGGTTAGACCAAAGATCTCTCTAGCTCCTTAGCTTATTTAGAGAAGAGTAGGAGAACGGTCCAAATACAGTGGTGCTTTCCTGGAATACTGTCCCAGCCTCCAGCAGACTGTGGCCATTGCAAGCAGTTAATGTTCTTGATACTGTGTCTTTCAATATAGTTACCTGAACTGTGCAAAAAATGCTAATTAGTGTGCCACCCTTAACTGATGCTTGCTCCAGCATGAGAATATTGTATCTTATTTTCCCCCATACAGCCAAACATTCAACAGCAGGTGTCAACCTTGGTTTTATACTAGCTAAAGTAATAAGAGTAAAACAAAGCTTCCTTCCAAGGACCAGAATATATTCCTGCAGATGCAGGTAGGCAATGGGATGGTATATGGGCATCCTGACACTGAGCTAGAAACAACATCCACTGTTGGCAGCATAGATTTTAAAGTAAGATTATTTGGGAATCAGACATTTAAAAAAAAAATTGTAATGTGTCATGGAAGATATTTAACTTTCAGTATCTGATTTCTTTTTGGTTTGTTTTTTCTTTTCAGTGACAATCATAGGAGGCATTGTCTTCTTAGCGTTTGCATTTTCTGCACTATTTATAAGTCCAGACTCTGGTTTTTAAAATTTTTCGTCACTGCAGAAGAGCAAGGATTGGAAGCATCGAGCAGCTATCCTTGTGCACTTTTGTATATAATGTACAGAATTACAGTTAAACAAGCACTGAAGATGAGACACTGAACTTTTTATAGCAAATGATTCATGGGACTGACGCATTCATGGACAGCTTCCGCAGCGGAGATCTGCTTGTTGTCTGGTTTGTTTACTCTGTGGTGCCTGCTCCCTTGGTGGGATTTGCGTGGGTTTCTTGCTTGCTGGACCTGGCTCAGCTGAGTTTTGAGGGATCTACTCTCATAAGTATTGAGGCTTCCTCTTTTCTTCCTCTGTTACACATGGCCACCGTGCCTGTTTCTTCAAGAGCTGATTCTTAAGGCTTCTTGAAGCAGACTGTGTCTTGTTCCATATTGCTCAACAGACAGCGTTAAGGAGAAAACTGCTGGCTCCCACCTCCAAGGACTTCGGTTCCAGGGTGCACCCGAGGCTGGATAACCTAAGCAACAAGAAACCTGGGAGCAGTTCCTATGCCATTGAGTGGCTGAGCCACTGACAGAGTTTTATAAATTTAATTTAGAGGGAAGACTTCTTAATCAGGGATTTTTATCAGGAAATTGATGTGTGGTGATTAACAACCTACCATGTTCAATATGCAGTCTGTCTGGAGCAAGTATTATTTGACTCTTTTTTTTTTTTTTATTTTGAAATATTAAAGTATATGGAAAGTAATAAAATGGTCCAACTTAACAATGTTCCGTTCCCAGGATTGAACAGTAATGGAATTCTTAGATTTAGATGTGTTCCTATTTTTGCTTTTTAGGAATAGAAATGTAATCTGGAAGAGTATTAATAAAATATAGTGTCTCCATTTGAGTTACTTTCAGTATTGTTTTTGATGGTTCCCATAATTCCTGCCACAAAGGTTTACCTAGCGATTATGTACTTAAGGTGAGGAAAGTTTACTGAATTTATGTTGGATACTGTTGTAAATGCCAGTTATAAAAACTTTGAAAATGTTGACCACTGAGGATATGTGGGTTGCTGAAATACATGGCTTCCTCTGCTCTTCAGTGATTTGGATTCTGAGCCAATGGCTTAAATAACCCACTAAGATCTACTCAGTAGCAGTCCTGTAAAATAGAAGATGCGGTTTCTAGTGTTATGAATCTGCCTTACTGAAGCTAAAGCCAATACGGAGCATTACAAATTTGACCAGTCCATTTGTAGCTCACAAACGGAGCAGTCCCTAATCCTTCTCTTGGGTTTCTCTGCCCAGAAAACCCCTTAATGCCACATTTCTCAAACTCTGAAGATGGCAGCAGCGCAATGCCTGTCATGCCCGCTGGTATGAAAACAGGCTGCAGTTTCAGGCTCCAGGTCTAAATGTTCATGTCTTGGCCTGAAGGAAGGGTGCCCCTGGCAGCATGAACGCTAATTACTAGGTGAGGCACTGCGTTGGTTTGGTGGTGTGGTGGTTTGGGTTTGGTTTTTCTCTGTTGAACCAAACCCTGTAGCCAAAACCTGCAGCTTTTTCTTTCCCACAGCCTGGAAACACGTGCTCTCTGTGGTGTGTTTCAGCTCCTGTGTGGAGGGGATTTGTAGCAGAGGTCATGTTAAAACAGGGCAGGAACAGGGAACCCAAAATAGGGAAGAGCCTAAACTTTTAACTGTTCAGCGGACAACTGCTTGTTGTATTAATCAGAAGTGGTGCTGCTGGGCTACAGTACGGTTCATACAGATGTGTCCTGTGTAAAGTAACTGGTGCCGCGGTTCATCCTGCTGAAAATTCTTGCTCAGAATCAAAAAAGCCAAACCGGTTGGCCGTTCTCTAATGTCGAAGCTTTCCAAACTTTCTATGTGCTGCTTAAAGCTGTTTCAATACGAAAACGATTAGGATCAACAGAAAAATGAATCTATTTAATGTGTTGTTTATAGAGGTAAGTGTGAAGTTGCAGAACAAATCTCTGCAACTTCCACACTTGCATTTTACTGTTACAAACTTACACGTGATGCAAGTACTGCTTTTGACCAGTCATAGCAATGTATTTGGCTGCTCTCTAATGCTAGCTAGGCAGGTAGGAGTTAGTTTGAACAGTGGTCTTACTTTTTTTTTTTTTTAAAAAGCACAAACATTGACTTATCTTGGAAATCTATTGTAAAATGAGATGGCTCATGAAATCTTAGTAAAAGCTTTGAAAGGTGCTTTAGTAGTTGCTGCTAATTACAGTGACAATGTTGTGAAGTGCTTGTTGGCATTTTTCACAATTTAAAGAATAGTTGGGATGTAGCCGAAGCCTGTTGAAGGTGATGGAGGACTCCGCTGACCTATTTTTAGCAGCACTGTGTCTGCTGCGCTGTCTCTAGCACGAATGGTGTCCTGCCACAGCGTCTCAAAGCACTTGCGCCCCGGCCATCTCTTGCCTGGTGGCTGGTTCAGGGGTTGGCATTTTAGCAGCTTCCGTCGTACTTCTTTCTTCTATTTCTAGCACGTTGCCATCAGAGAGGTGTGTGGCTGTTCTGTCTCGAAATACCTGGATACTTGATGTACAGGTAATATCTTAAGGAGTGTGTGTGTGCATACCTATATCTATCTAGCTAGCTATACGTAGCTTACCCTTTGGGGTGAGTCTGCATCAAAAACTTGAGATTTTGTTAAAGCCTTTCCTTTGCCTACGCTTTCCTTAAGTAGCGGGTGTTAACTGAAGAGTTGTTGTTGGTAGGGTGAAGTAAATCTGCTTGCTAGGGCTAAAGCACATTCCGGGAGGATACGTGAGCTGGGTCACTGGCCCCTGGGCTAAACCACCCAGGGCAGGAGATGTTGAAGGCAGAATGTGAGGAGATCTGGACCGATGGTGCAGTGACTTGTGATGCCCTCTGAATTCAGAGGGTGGGGAGCTGAAAGCTAGTGTTTTGCTCACACGCATCAGCATCTCAAGTGTCAATAATTCATTCCCTGCCCCTCCTTTCCCCACCCTGTGCCCAAAGTGGAAGTTAGTGATCTCTCAGTAAAAGAAACTCTGTCTTTCTACTTCTCCTTATGCCGAGAGAGAAAGTGGGAACCATGGGGCATGTCTTTCTGATTGAACGTGCTATGCCGTTCAGCAGGCTCGTGGGTTGCACCTTTATCTAACTTCAAGATCCTCAAATGAGCTGAAATGCGTTTTAACAGCAGGGCTGGGCATACGGGAATGGATTCTTTGTCTTTTCAGCAGCTAGCTGTAGCACTCTCTTCCTCTCTTCCGAGATACTGTCCTGACGAGTTATTTACCAACTTGCAGGAGCATTAAGCCTGTGCATTAAAGCACCAAGGCTGAGCAGAGTATGCGGATGACCAGATTTGGGGGTGGGGAGAGGGGGGAAGATGTGATGTTGTAGAGATGCTCAAGCTATGAAATTGTAGCCAAGTGCCTGGGGAGAGTGGTTTAGTGCTTTTGGCCACATCAGCTTGCTCATGGGGAAGAAATACAACCACACCTGTAGCGGCAGTGTTTGAGCTGCTCTCAGGTAGGTAGGAGGAGCATTTGCAGGGCTGGGAATTGCAAAATCTCAAGGTTTCAGGATGGCAGAGCAGGCTTGAGGCCGTACTGGTGGGGAAACCTGTCCCATGTGCCTTTATAAATGCTTCTGTCCTGAGGCATTACATGTAGCTACTTCCTAGATGGTGGTACGTTTGGGGAAGGAGCTGGTTGGTGTATTAGCCAGCCAAGGCCTAGCTTTTTCAGGAACAAAGTATAGAAAAAGTTTAAATACTAGTGCTCTTTCCCTCTTAAATGGAGGTAAGTTTGGGGGTTGCCTTGCATTTTAGAATATGAAAGAAACACTTAAGGTAAGTAGCTGAAGTTTTAATTGTCACAGTCCTGTGCAGTTTCTTGTTCTTTTGTAGCTGGAGAACGTGGAATGCAGCGAGCAGGTGTTGAAGGGAGAGCTCTGCAAATCGTTGCGCCTGCAACATGGGAGATCGACGGGCAACTGTCCACCACGGGTTTCCCATCTGTCTTGCAGCTCTCCCTGCTGGGGTGAGATGCATTAGCAGCTGCAGCCGATTTCACTGTTGCTGCCGAAGGAACCTCCAAAGCAGTGTCTCACGCAGGAATGTGCATCTCTGCATGTGCACACAAGAGCGGTTTAAAAGTGCGCATCACCTGGAACTACTCATTTCCAGGCTTGAGCAACAGAAACAAAGTAGAGACGATGACGGTCCTACTGGGATGGAAAAAAAACCTCGCATCAACTGAGATGTTTAAAATGAGAAAGAGCTTGTGCTTGTTGTTTTCGAAGGTGCCTATTACCAATCCTTAGGCAAAGCCTGTCTCACTACATCGTACGTGGCAAAGTGCAATAAGCAAAATTAAGGTAAACTTGTAATTTCTGTCCTGCCAGGACAAAGTTTTTCAAAGGAAACCTATTGAACCAAAGCACAGGTCCGGTTCACAAGCAAGCCTGTTCCTCCTAGGGCAATGCAACCAGGTATGCATATGCTGGGCTGGTGCTTGGGCTTGCTGTTTTGAGGTAGAATAGTCAGATACTAAGTCTGGAAATCCAAAAGTTAATGAGCAGCTCTATTCACCCAGTGCTGTACGAGGCAGCCTGCTGCTGTACAGGCTTCCCTGCGCCTCAGCTGCACCTCCTGCTTGGGGCAGGCTGCACAGCAGCTGGAATGCTGCCACCGTATTCACGGGTTTTTTTACACTGTATTCATGTGTTTTACAACACATTTCTAGAAAGGGGTTGGTGGTTGAGCCTCAGATTTTTGTATATTTAAAAAAAAAAATAAAATCTCTGATCTTGAATTAAGAGAATCGGGCAGTTTCATCCTAATATAACCCGAGTTGTCCTTAATTTCCAGAGACGTGGAAATAACGATGTAATGGCACTTGCCATACTGACATGGCATGTTTCCATAGGTGACCTCGTACAGCCCCTGAATTCAGCACCCTTGGCAAGTTACAGCCACAGGCTTTTGCTAATGCAGATACAGGTTACATTTAACCCGTAACATTTTCCATCTGTATGTGCCATGTAGTACAGATGTGTATTTCTTCTGGATTATTTAGATGTACTTCCCAAGTGAAAATATAGTTGCCAAAGGGTCTGACAGTGATAGAGACCGTGTGCTGCAAAGAATGCTCGTAAGACCATGGAAATTTTTGTTCTTGTTATGTGTTACCCTCGAACAGCTGAAAACTTCTGGAACTTGTATCACTAATGCCCGAGACTCAGAAGTGCAACTAACCTTTGGATTGCTAATCTTTACAAGTACCTAACAGTTGCATTCTCGTGTAAGCGTGGTTTTTGTTTCTAAGTTTGCACGACAGCAAAACGCCATTGAACAGCATTGCTTCAGGTGTGGCAGCAGTTATAATTACAGCTCTTCTTCTTGATAAGTTCATGGAAAAATATATTGATATTTCCAAAGTTCAATTTTAAGAAAACTGATAATCTTGCTTGCTACATGCTATCGGCCTTATCGCTGGTGGGCGTTGACAGTTTTTAACTACAGCATTTCTATAGCTAATTCTGTTTCGACTCCTGGGGCACAGGGAGTTTATGGCATCTAGAAGGCAGATACAACTTGCACAAGTATTATTTAATTCCCGAAGGCAAAAGATCAGTATCTTCACGTATATCACATATCACACATAATATCTAGTGTGATATTACAGAAAGAAAAGGACTGCAGACTGTAAAAATGGCTAAGCATATTTATCATTGTCTCCAGGCATTCAGCTTCAACCACAGGATTTCCTTCCCTCCCACCTTTCCTTGAGCATTTAATTAATTTCAAATTATTAAATGCTTATTATTGACGTTCACACTTTGATCAGTGCAAAAGGATGAGGGAGAAAGGATTAGACCAGCCTGGCAGGTTACACGTTATCACAAGCTCTTCAAAGCAATGCGCTAACGAGTTGCGCTCTCAGCTAAATGCAAGTCTCTCCTGCCTTTTCCAGTGGCATAGCCGACGTTTCAGATCATCTCTATTCCTTTAAAAGTATTTGACAATTCACCAGCAGTGGGAATACCCAGGGAGGGGAGTTGAAAGAATTAAAGGAGGGTGTTTTGGCCATGCCAGAAAGTGAGGGGAGGGCTATGCTTGATAAAGCCTCCCGCGCACACGCGTAGGCTCTGCAGTGCTGCTCCATCATCTGGAGAGGACAGGGACTGTACACATGAAGATACAAAAGTAGTTTTAAGTTGTGCACATTCAAACAAGTGCTGCGTGAGTAAATTCCAAGGCAGTAATGTAAATACACAAATCAAAGGTCTCTAGCCTTTAGAGTGGGGCATCAATTTATAGATACACAGAGAGAAGACAAGAAAAAAAAATACAGTATGCATTTTTACTAAGTCTCACAAATCATTTGTCTGGCCAGGGGGGGAAGATAAAGTCAGCATCAAGCAGCTTCTCACAAGATGGTTCTGGGGGTGGGGGAGAGAGAGTGCCTTTGTTACAGTCGTGGGAAGGGTAAGAGAGCGCTTCACTGTGAAACTTGGATAAAACTGACATCGAGCAACTCAGGAAAAAAAAAGTCTAGAACCTTAGAAGCTACAAAAAGTGAAATTTTAAATGAGTTACATTTATTCAGTTAAAAAATTGACAGTTAGTAATGGTCACATGAACACCAGGGAACTGTATCTACATTTCCTGACGTCAATATGAGCGGCACTAGGGTTTTTCTGTTTGTTTTCTTTTATGTATACAAATCTAATGCCAGTTAAAAAAATACAAAACAAAACTGGAACCCAAGACACTGTGAAATCAACACTGCTTAAAAACTCAAAATTCAATCTGATATATTTGAAAATAAATAATTTTTACCTTTCTTGTTAAAAAAAGACAACTTGCCAACCGCTTTCAAAGCAGTAACATCTTTAAGACCATTCCCAGAAGTGTTTCATAAATAATTACCCATTGATTGTCTATTAATGCAGCATCTGTCAGTCTCAGCTGGGGTCTCCATATTAGGCCATACAGTATTTTGTTCAGACACAGTGTTTTGTTTTGTGTTGTGTTTTTTTCCCCCCTCCTTTTTATTTAGGTACAATTTCTTTGAATATAGCATATCATGCTGGCAAAATTCATGCAGATGACATAGCATGAAGCATAGCAGAGCTTAAAATCACCTGTTTAAAAAAAAAAAAAAGACAAGGAATGTAGTGTTAAAAATCATGATAGTGAAAAAGCAACCATCCAGTCTCATGGACAACCAAGACAGTTTCAAATGTTCTCTCACAGTTGTCTCATCTACTACGATTTGTTTAAATACGCCTTTTTAAATCCAAATTCATTTAATTCTCTTCAACTTTTTTCCACCAGGGATAAGTAAAAAAATAAAAGGTTAATTATTAAAACTAGTCTCTTTTCCCTTTTAATCAAAATAACCATTTTCCAGCCCTCTGACTGTACGTCTAATTTTAATAATGATTTCAAATAGAGAAACTTATGAATCTGACATGTTTGACATCTCCGGATGCCACGACATTTAAAACACTCATAACAATACCTGGGTTAAACCTCTGAAAATATAAATGGTTCTTGAATCGACTTCAACATCTGAAAAAGGCCACATCTTTAAACCTTCAGAACATTTTCACACAAACTATAATCCTAAGGGACACTTAGAATTACTGAGCAGGCAAAGGAGCCTCTGGATGATCCTCTCTCATAGGCAACTGTGCAACTTAAAAAGTCTCCTTCCAAGGAAGCTATCATCACTAATCCTTCCCCCTGGCCGTATAAAACACAAAGCCAACTGGTTTCAGAAGCCTTTTTAATCTCGCACTTTGAGCCTCAAAGGATCGCCATATTAAAGAAACATTTCCCAGAAATGCCTCTCTTGACAGTTTTATGCATGTTATTCCTCGATGCCCCCCCTTTTTAACAGTTTCACTGACTAAAGAAATTGTTTTTCAAATAGTCTTTTCAGTAAAGTGCTTGTTATTACTCAAAAATAAAAAAAAAGAGAAAGTGCTATTTGAGTCTTAAAAGAATTTCTTTTTCTGTGAAAAACTGCCTGATATAGCTTTATTTTATTCATTTTTACATAAAGCTGAAATGAAACCTATCTCTCGTAAGGATACCTGGTACAGAAGGTGGTGACACACTGGAACCGTAGTGCAGAAGGTAAACCTTCTAGATGAAATGGAAGGCATATGGAGAGCTCCTACTAGAATCCTTTCATATTTATATACAAATATAATATATATTAAATATAATATAAAAATAGCTATATTCTTTTAGTCTGAAGTTATCCTAGAAGCTTTTCTTCAAATCCTCACCCATCGCAGGCAAACAATGTCTGTCTCCTAAACGCCATGCAACTATGCTGTCTTTTTCACTCCATTATGTATCACCAGCCCATTTCTTCTTAAATACAATCCTCTCCCTAACAGGCTCCTTCCCTTCTGTCAGACTCATTCTGTAACGCTTACGCTCCAGAACCTGCAGCATCACAGCATTCATCATCGTGCTGTTTATTAGGATGTTGCAAATAAGTCTATGACTGTAGTAAACGAGTCGGGCAGAAGCAAAAGGCTGGTTAAGAAAGAGGCAATAGCCTGGTCCTCTTCCCACTAAAAATCAAGGACAGTTCAGCAATTGAGTCAGCAACAGGGGAAGCTGCAGACCCTTTAAAGATACGCTTTTTAGTCATTAGCTGTGAAACAAAGCATCTGCATCCTTGCACAGAATCTGGACCAAGTTCTACGTATCGCTTTTGTAGAAAGTTTGCCTGATTTGTGGCAAGAATTTTTCAAATGCGTGCTGTATTTTTCCAGTTTCTTTGAATTTCCCCATCCCCTATACTTTCTCTACTAGCTGGTAGCTCTGTAATTGAATGGCCTCTCTCTGAGGTTACAAAAAGCTTCTTGATCAAAGCGTACATTTCTATAGTTCTCCTTCAGCAGCCATGCTATTGTCACCATCGAATTTCTCTCTCACCTAGTTTAGCCTTTTTACTGACAGACCTATAGCAGCACACCAGAGTATTTGGGAAGGGGGAAATGGGAAGAGAAGTTTGAATGAAGCTTTATATAAAAAGCTGCATCATTAACTGTCTGGCTGGTATCTCTATTTTCTGTAATTCTCAGTGTAATAGCTTAATAAACCTATTTTACCACTATTCAATAGTTCTAACAGCACTATTAAAGCTCTCCCACTTCTCTTTTTTTAGTGCTATATTATCATTGTAATTGGTTAATTTTTTTTTTATCTATCATCTAACCTATTTTCCATTAAGCAAAAGTACTGATAGCACAGACCTCTAGTCAACGCAGCTTAATTTAGAAACAGGTGGAACAGCGTGGTAGGGATAGTAGAGCAAGGCAGGATTTCTTTACATAGAACTGTACAGAAACAGGTTTCTGACAATTATTCCAGCCCAAAGAATGCCAGAAATCCCTTTAAGGAAGGGGAAGTGTTCCTTGCTATGTTTGGTATTGGCATCTGTTCCTTGCTCCAGGTTGCAAGAGGCTTCTTGGAGCAGAAAACAATCTGATTCTCTTTGGTACTGTGTTTCTCACACTCTCCTTCCTTGTTCGCTACTGTGCTTTTTGGTGCCAAACTCTTGCTTTATAACTGGGGAATAACAAAGATCTAACGGTGGGACACGTGCAGAGGCAAAGGCTAGCCTCAAAACGCAACCAACTGTATCAAATGCTTGGCTAAACTGGTATTACCTTCCTGCGGGTTTGGTTCATCCAGTAATACAATCAAACTGTTTCATAGTACAAAACAGTCCATCACCGTTTGGTTACATTCATTCAACTCCTCCTCAGTATTCAAGATTAATCCAGCTTTCTCTCCCTAGTACTAATTTTAACTGCCTTTACTGGTTTTGTTTTTAATTATCAGATCTATCAGCATTGATTCATTTCCCTTTGAAGTTCTGGTTTCCACAAACTAGTACCATAAAAACCTACTGAACATTTACTTAAAATAGCACATCATATCTGTTGGAACTTTTTATTTTCTTTATAAAGTGAAGTTGCCTTCTGAAGTCTTAGTTCAGTGATATCTCTTAAATCAATAGCCTGGTAGTGTTAAATGCAGTCATGATCTCCCCCAACACACACTTTTAACGCTACAAAAATGATTACAAGAAAAACCAAAACAAAATCAGCTTACTATTCCTCCTCCTGCAAAAGGAGAAACGTGTACTTCTAGATTTTTTGATCTGTTAAGAGTTATTACCTCCAAGGTCTGAGATTTTAGAGACTCTTCTGTTTCTGGCTAGTGTTTGAGGGGGACTACCACTCAAAAATGCTCATGTTCTCAACTCAGACCATTATTAAAATCAACACAATACAGAAATAGCTATGAAGTAGATACACAAGTTTGGTTGACAATGTACTAAGACTTCAAAATTGAAAATGGTTACAGATTCAAGACGTTGTAATTCAAGATGTTTAACATTATCACCTGAATTAAAATCAAGGCACTATGGGTTTTGTTGTTGTTGTTAAAATGACCCTGAATTAGTTCTGACTAATTTTTGAAGGAGAATAAAAAGATTCCAACATATTTTAACAAGTTACAATTCTCACCACAGAGAAAGTGGTTAAAAAGTGCCCAAAAGGTTATTAAATGTAAATATATTTTTGTGCAAATTACTCCTATAACTGAAACATTCTTGAAAATTACTGTCATTTTTTTTTAAACCTTTTACATAAATATTTCCAACTATGAACTATATCAAAAGATAGCTTTGGGGAATAAAATTCCAAACCATCCGCGAGAAAGCAGTGCAAATTCCTATTTTTCAAATAAAATGATGAATTAATTATGAAATGATGGATGATATTCATGAATCTGAATGTCCTGAACCCTGATGCATGATCACCAGTTCAAACAGCTTAATCAATAATTTAACCTCGAGAAGTCAACTAACCAACACACTATACCTCACCGAACAAACCCTGACATCACAGACAAAGCACAAACAGGAGACTTGTGCCCACATTTAGGGTGAAAATAATGATGCATCATGTTGTAAACAAAAGGGTAGAACAGAGGAAAACATTAGTCTGAGTATGGTGTGAGAATTTAGGGAAACATATTCAAACCTACAAATAACAGGTTACATTTTCATGCATCATATAAAATATTTTGCTCTTTCTCCTTTTATGCAGACATATACACAATATTTTACAGCATCTGTACAACAGAGAACTGGATTTCACACAACATTTTCAAAATATTTACTGTCCCATAATCATCTGAAAAAAATTAGATGTTTTTTGGACTATATTCCTGGCATTTTTTTCTGCTAATTCAAACAATTGCTCCATGTCCATTTTAATACTTTAAAAATGTACAGGATTGATAAAAATACCAATATTTTCAGCATCCCTCTCATTTCAGTCACATGTTGAGATTTCACCTGGACAAATTAACACATGGCAGCAAATCCTTTAGAACACAGAAACTGGGGCAACTATCAAAGTTGGCCGTGTCCCCATCGTCATCTTCTGGCTTTTCTTAACAGATTCCAGAAGTTAGAAGTAGGTCTCAACACCACGGTGTTAGAAAGCCTTCGTACTGCTACCTCTGTAGCCTCAGTGCAACCGTTTGTGGAGCAGCCCCCTCCTGGTGGTTTGCTTCAAAAAGAGGCAGAGCCCCACACTATTGTGGCTGAACTTTGGAAGGATCAGTCATCTTGTCAGTTCTGTGTCGCGACAGTTGCTGCTGCTGCTGCTGCGACTGATGCTGCTGGTGGTGGGACTGAGTAAAAGTGCTTTGTTGTAGTGGGAAAGCAGCAGAGAGGATAAGCTGAGCTGACTGATTTCCATGAAGTAACCTGGATGTCTAAAACATGCAAATAGGGAAAGATTATTTTTCCTGCTGCACTGAGAAACACAGGCCTAGCTGCTTTTTAACTTTTCACAAGGGTTCAATCAAAATAAACTTCTGATTTGGTCATTTAGGCTGAGCAGACAATGCAAAGATTAGTTCATATTAATAAAGTTAATTAGCGCATCTGACCAATTAATAAAGCAGCTGTAACTGGTCTTCGTAATTTCCCGTGACAATGGGTAGGAACACATGGCAATTTGTCACCATTTCAAACCACAAGAGCATAACAGGGCTTAAGGAATCTATTTGAACAAGGGCAGGTGGCTGTCATTGCAATCAAATGAAAAAACAGTGCATGACCTGGCACAGATCACATGTATCCCCCACAGCCAAAACGAACAGTCAAAGAAACTGCCGCATTTGCAGACCCAAACATCCCCTTGGAAGGGGATTAATTACTATTGGAAACAGTACTTAGTTTTAGTATTCATTTTCTTAGAACCAAAAGATGGTGGTTACTGAAGAAAAGCAATGAAGGATGGGTACAAATGCACTTGGACGTCTCAATCCAGAAACACGTTCTGCAGCAGGAAGCGAACTACCTCGTGGGCTGCACCCACAGAATCAGGCTGTGATCTGCCCCAGTGAGCAGAGGCAGGAAAAGCACTGTTCCTTTTCTCCATTTTTAAAGAGCATTTGCTTCACTTCAAATTCTAGCACTTTAATAGTTTGTATTAAAAATACTAAACTTTTGCCTAGAAAGAAATTCTAGGACAGGAACAGGCCTTTGGAGATCTTCATCTTTCACAAATCTTCTGTTTTTCACCAGAATGAAATCAAAATTGTACAAAATTTTTAATTTAGAAACAGCTACAGATACCACCAACCTGCTAAGCAGCATTGTTGTTCCAGTATTTATCTGAGTTGTCAGAGAACACATTCAAATCTGCACTCTAGTTTGATTCAGTTCAAGACTCTCCCACTACATAAATGAGTGCTGAAATTCAAATCACTAGGTATTCTTCAGCTCTCTTTTTGAGAGCCAACTTGCAGCTGAAAAGCCTTTGCCTGATGCATGACTGAAATTGGTATGTTTCCATGAAAGATTTTTTCAACAAGTCAGTATTTTCTATCAATGACCTAGTGAAAGAAAACTTTACTCAGCCCTAAACAGAACCGTAACCATTCCTTGCACATATAAATGTAGGTTAAGCCTCCAATTACTTACGGCATTTGTATATATTCCACCTATGCACAGGATCCCTCATTTAGTGCAAATGGGAGACCACACATAGTAAGAAGAAATACTTGCAAAATAAGGATTTTTAATTATGTATACTCTTAAAGAGTAAAAAAAAAAATTGACATTCCCAGAGTAGTTAAAGAATGTTAAGAATGTGCACAAACTGACAGTGACAGTTACATGGACTTTATCTTTCTTTGGAGAAGGCAACATCAGAGGCCAAATTACGATTTTTTAACCCACGCCTCCTTGGAGGCCCTTCCTCTCTAGTGTTCTAGCTACCACTGCATCTCCCTCACCAAAATCATCTGCTGGGTGAGCTATGTGCCAGTGATTAACTGGAATCAATAAATGGCAACAGATTTCCCCATCAATTCTTTCTACCCTCTGGTTCTTTTCTTTTTGTAGGCGTTTCCTGTCTCTAAACTCCTTGGGTTTTGCCTTCCTTCTCTTTTGATCCAATCTCTCTTCTTTCTCCTCTAAACCAAAGTTCTTCTTTACTCTCTGCTTACAAGGTTACTTGCTGCTCAGCCTCCCCTGTAGCCTAGACAGATGTTCATGCCCCATGTTATGGGGCCATGTCTTGCTTTGGGCTGCATGCTGCTTTCCAAACCAACCAATTCTGTTTGAGATCATCTCTCATACCTTCTTGCATTAATACGTGAATGCAAAGAAAACACAAGCTGTTTTAAAGGAAAACATCTGTTTCTTCATCCCATGCTCAATCAAGAGCAGCAATTCAAAGGGAAGAAGATATAAAATAGGAACAAGCATAGAGTGAAATTGCAGGAAAGACCACCTCTCCTTTAAGTAGTGAGACTTTAGAGAACGTCTATGGAATAAACTTATCTCATGCATCAGGCTTGTTCATAGGTTACTATTTTAAGCACTCTGTTTTCAGATAAAGCACCCCTAGGATAAGCCAGCAATGCTGAAAGTGTCAGGACTTCGAAAAATCTGTAGAGAATGCTGCGTTACCTGTAGGAACTGTTGGGGCTGCTGGGTCAGCTGTGGCTGAGCTGGTTGCTGAACTGTGGTGAGCTGCTGCTGATGGTCTTGCTGATTTTGCTGCTGCTGCTGCTGCTGTTGCGTTATTGACAAAGTCTGTGGCTGCTGCTGTTGGGCAGCAAAAGTGGGATAAGCTGTCACCACCTGTCCCATAAACATAGTACTTGGTACCATTACCGCTCCACATGCTACTGGGGCCGTGACAAGTTTTGTTACAAGTTGCTGACCTTGAGAAAATCTGTTAATGGAAAAAGACATTTGGAGTCCCTTGAGGAAAAAAAAAGTCAAGCATCACGTGCACTTGAGAAATGCAGATTTGTCAGGTTCATACTTTGCTATAACAACATGGGTTTTGATAAGCCTGCGAACATGTTATTTTGGGCAAGGTTCAGCTTAGCAGTTGTATCCATATATAGTTAAAATAATAAATCATGTGATTTTTAATACTACTTTAGTTCCTTTTGTATATGATGTAGGTATGCAAGCATATCATTATAGCAAGTCATCTGAATATTGGTCTTGAAGATTTACCTGATTTGTCTATCCTGTGTAAAAGTGGTTACTGCAGCAGCATTCTGGTTATTGTTCTGTGGTAAGCTAGAAGGAACCTGGACCACATTTCCTGTTGTTGGCTGAGAAATCACCATAGTGTTATACAAAGGTGCCGAGACTGTGTTCTGTGACTGACTGGCAAGAGAAGACTGTTGATTGTGTCCACTAAGTACATTTTGTTGATTATGCTGAAAAGAAAAAGTATTTTTTGAGATAGTAATTTGAAAATAGCCAGGTACTACAGCTGTCCTCCTCATTGTTATTGGCCACACTGCCAATGTTTTTCTATTACAAATGAATTCTTAATTTAAAGTCGACAGGTATTTCTACCAGCTGAGGATTTGGAGGTGGGGCTGACCCTCAGGCATCTGAAAATCTATTAGACTAACCTCTTCTCTTCAGGTTATTTTTTTCCTCAATTTTTCAGCTACTTGCATACTGTTTGTTCACGATCTTATTTTCCACTCCTTCAGCATCTCTGTGCCAGACAGACTAAAACGTGCACATCACGTCAATCAATTTGTTACTTGAAAGTTTGGAACTAGCTTACTGCTGAGATGATAACACTGTCCACCACTAGTCTGCCTCTTCACAAATCTCAAAAACAAAGTATGGAATTTGGATAAAGGTACAGAGGAGGGTGACCACAGAGATCAGAGGTATAAAGAGCTTCCATACACAAAACGGTCAAACCCATTAGAAGCGTTCAGCTTGAAGAACAGGAGATACATGTGACAGAGGACTGAAATCATGTATGACTGAGAAGATGAAAAGTGAATAGCTGCTCAGTATGTTTCCCAGTATATGAGCTGGGTGGCAGGTTTAAAAAACAAACATAATCATATTTCACAGAAAGTAAAGCTGTAGAACTCACTACGAGATACTGTGCATTTCAGAAGTTTACATGGAATCAAAAGAAACTGGATAAACTCATATAAGAAAAATCCATCAAAGGCTATTACATTACAGATGCAATACACCTATGGCATCTGACTGAAACTGAAGAGTAGAAAAGTCAACTGCAGAAGCCTAATGTATGCTTGTCCTGTTCCTATGCTTTTCTAGGTATTTGCTGTAGACCACTGTCTGGACACTGGGTTTCAAGCACACCTAGTACAAATCTCTTGTTATGTGTTCTGTCAACGGACAATTCATAGCCATTCAAAAAAAGGCAAGCTAAAAGTTTTCTTGATACTGGTCTTTCCAAAAAGCTACTTGTTATTATTTACATGCCTAAGTCTTAAAATAAAAACGAGAGCTGAAATTGCATTAGCAAGAACAGAAATGCATTTCAATTGTAAAACTTCGAACATGATGAAATGAATATGATTCAAAGGACGTTGTTCAAAAAAAATTTGGGAGGGGGATGTCAGGGAAGCTATTGTTGTGTTTCAGCTGTGGTTTTGAGTATACGTTCTACCCAGCAAAATCAACAATGAGAATTTTACCTGTGTGGCAGTACTCTGCAAAGGCTGTTGCTGTATCATGTGTGGAGTACTTATATGGCCTGCGTTCATCCCACTTTGAGTCTGATTAGTCTGAACAACTTGACCTTGCATGTTTATTGGTGTAAGCTGCTGAACATTTGAAGAATTTCCAGAAGCAAGCTGCACAGAACCAAAGTTGAGTCCAGAAGTTGATTGCTGCAAGAACATCTTAAAAAAAAAAATCCACAAGTTAGCTTTTAAGAAAAATCTGTTCAAGAAGTTTTAGAGAAACTAAACTTAATTATTTTAAATCAATATAAGATAAAGTTTCATCTTAGTTATTAGAGGTGCTGAAACAGCATTGCAACCACCAAGAGCAAGAGGCCCAACTCCCGTATAGGGTCAGTATTCAGAGACTCGACTCTAACTGAGAAGAATGAGAATCCTGATTTCTAGAGCCCTAAACACTGTTTAATATTTGTTCTTAAAGAAAAAGTACTATTTAGAGACTAACCTGTAACGTAGTCTACAACTGCCTAAAGACAAAATGTATTTGAGATCACATTTCCATTTGTAGGATCTTCAGCAGTGATACTAATTCAAATGAAGAAAATCTCAGAATCAATAGATCCAGGCATAGCACCAAGAACGTAATCTTCCTTGGCAATCAAGAAATCATAATTATTATACTGAATTTTCCAACATCACTGTAATAAACTGAATTCAGCACAAAAATATTTGAGTCTTTACAACAAGTTAGGCCCAAGACTGCAACGAGACAGGATAATAAGGTAGAATGTGCAGCACTTGGATATTTTTCCCTAGTTTCCACAGTCCTGAATAAGGTCCCTCCACAGTGCATGGGAAGAGAGCTGTGAATCTCTCCTTTTGAGGCATCTGTAAGGCAGTCTACTGCTGGCAGGCTTACACTAGATACAATAAAACACTGAAAACGGCACATTCCAGGAACTCCTACTCTTCAACAGAATGTAAGCAACATACTCAATACTTCCAGAAAGTAAATTTTTCTACTCTTTATTCACAGTTCACACTGAAAATATTTATATTCTTTCCTTAAGGTGTATTTTAGTTTTTTGTTTTGGTTTGGGTTTGTTTTGTTTGTTTGGGTTTTTTTAACCAGAAAAACCCAATAGGATCATTCTTTTCTTCCAAAGAGAGCTGCTGGAAAGAGAATGACAAAATTAGAAAAAAATATACTGGTTAAAATACAGAAACCAGGTAGTCAGCCGCTAGACTACGTAATGCATCCTCTAGACTTCTTGTCTTTCTGGGTTAGTAACTATTTCAGTACACCTTGCAAAGTAGAACCACTTCACCAGGAGGGTGTATAGGAGGACCACAGCCTGGTAGTTAGGACAGCCTAAGAAACTAAAGGTATGAATTTGACACCCTTGAGCTAAAAGGGGAAATAAATGCTTATCTTGCACATTCTGGATGAATATTCTAATGGCTGCAAAACTATACAAGAAGTAACAGCCACTGCATCCTTTTACATTTAGGCATAAGCTAGGCTTGAGCTGCTCAACACTGAAAAGATACACCGGGGCACTTCCAGATACATTCAGAAGCAAAATGGCAGGTACCTCAGAACAGTAGCTTCAGATGCTGTGGATTTTAGGCACATTAGGTCCAGATGACAGCTGACAGGGGGTAGGGAGGATCACCTTGTGGAATTAAGTGCCCAAGTCTCATTTTAGATGCCTAAATTCTCTACAGACCAAGCCTGTAAGAGTTACACTAACTCACCTGGAGTCCTTGACCGTGGACAATTTGAAGCTGCTCTTGAATCTTACGCAACTCTTCCTGCTGCCGATGAATATTTGCCTCTATCATGCGTGTTCTTTGCTCTAGCTGGTCCTTTAGATGCTGCATAGCTCCTAATTGAGCTGAAAACTGAAACACAGGCTGTAGTGCAATGAATAAATTAAAAGCTCAGCAAAAATAATGACATTTTATATACAAGCAGTAAATACACTCCTCCACAGTAGCAAAGAAATCAAGCACTGCTTTTTAAACTGCTAATAACCGTAATATGAGGACAAATTCATTAGTATGAAAATGTCACAGAACTCACATTTAATTGATTTCACATTTAATTGATGCATCAGAATTGGTGAACCAAAAAAAAAGTCCGTGGCAAAAGAAATTGACTGCTGTCCAAATCACCAAGACTCTGTAAAAAGCCTTACTAATTTACATGGCACTGCGGATGTTAAAGCGCTCTCAGGTTAAAAATGAGAATTGTACCAGTTTACCAAAAAAATTCACCCAGAGCTAAAACATATGCAAATAAATTGGGAATACCCTCAGTCATGAACTGTTGAGGCTGAGCCCACAGAGGAACAGTGTTTGCTACTTCTATTCTTCCCTAGACATCTGCTATGGGCTACAAGTCAATACAACCTTTTGATAGTTATATCCTATCTACAGGACATAGATCTTCAGTTGGACCTGATACCGCTGTTCTTATTTCACAAAACTCTTTCATACACTAAGTTGCCTTGTGTTACAAGCGTATGTGTAGAAAGTTAACAGCATAGTAGATGGATTTTTAAATTAATATCCTAAAATATTTTGTCGTGTTATCTATGTTTCTAATAGCCAAGGCTGAAAACTATATCCACACAAATAACGGGAAGAAAAAAATAAAGGAAAAGTGTCAAATTGGGGAATTTGCTCATTTCAAGAGAATAATGTTAAAGGTGACTTTGGCACCCAAGACCTCAATTTCTGAAAGAGAAATTATCCTTATATTCAGAACAAGACTGTTTAAAAAATAATAAACAATAAATCAACTTAATCCATACCTGGGACATGCCAGACTGGAGCTGTAAAGTTGCAGGCTGAGACATCGCTGGCTGTGCTACTGGTTGTCCAAGAGACTGGGAGCTTAAAGACTAGGATTTAAAAAATTGTTCCATAACTGGAAGAGAATGAACTTCATACTTGACATGAAATATTTCTTTACATAAAGTGTCAATTCCAAAATAGCATCATATGAACATATGATAAAAATAAGTAAACGTTTCCTGAAATATCTAACCTTAGAGAATTAAGAACACAAGAGCAATTGATTATATCCATAATATATATATAAAACTTTTCCACTGCTACAAATATATAAAAACAGTAGGTATAAAACAGGAAAAACAGAAATTACAATTACAACTGTTTTAAAAGTCTTATTTGTAGGAAGGGAAAAACATTTGCAACAAGTTTGGAAGGTGAAACCTTTGATTTATTCTTAAACTAATAATCTAAAAAAATGCATATTTTAATAAGCATTCTAATTTTGAAGTGAATGTATTAGTTCAACTGGAACATGAGCACCAAGTACATGAAGCATGACATTTTCTCACATTACCAAGATTTCAGAAACTATATTGTTCCGTATAATGTATGCCACGGCCAGGATGCTATGTTCTGGCATCCTGGCCTGTATCAGAAATAGTGTGGCCAGCAGGACTAGGGAAGTGATCGTGCCCCTGTACTCGGCACTGGTGAGGCCGCACCTCGAATACCGTGTTCAGTTTTGGGCCCCTCACTACAAGAAGGACGTTGAGGTGCTGGAGCGTGTCCAGAGAAGGGCAACGAGGCTGGTGAAGGGTCTGGAGAACAAGTCTTATGAGGAGGGGCTGAGGGAACTGGGGTTGTTTAGCCTGGAGAAAAGGAGGCTGAGGGGAGACCTCATCGCTCCCTACAACTCCCTGAAAGGAGGTTGTAGCGAGGTGGGTGTCGGTCTCTTCTCCCAAGTAACTAGCGATAGGACGAGAGGAAATGGCCTCAAGTTGCGCCAGGGGAGGTTTAGATTGGACATGAGGAAAAATTTCTTTACTGAAAGAGTGGTGAAACATTGGAACAGGCTGCCCAGGGAAGTGGTGGAGTCCCCATCCCTGGAGGTATTTAAAAGACGAGTAGATGAGGCACTTAGGGACATGGTTTAGCGGGCATGGTGGTGTTGGGTCGACGGTTGGATTTGATGATCTTAGAGGTCTTTTCCAACCTTAATGATTCTATGATTCTATATGAAAGTATTCACTAATATTCTTAGAGTAATAAATCTACATGAATTCTCTATAGGGATACAAGGCATTACATTGGCAATTTTATATATGTGTATATATACATATGTACATAATACATATATACATATGTGTAATTATGTATATAATTGCTTATATACATATATATATTAAAATGCAGAATCGTAGAAAGAAGTTATGTATGAGTGAAAGCAGATTCATACACAAACTTGCAAACCCTAATGCTAAAAAATACTTATATGCTTAATTATTGTATTCCCTTAAAATGTAGTACACCCAAGTTGCACATTGATGATACAATTCTGATACTCACATATTCCAAGTGAACCTGTTACAGTTTAAATTATGTGTTTTCAGACGAAATAAAACAAAGGTTATATGGATTTAATAATACCTTTTAAAGGTGAATTACACTGATTAAGTGCAAAATTTTTCTCTGAAGAGTTACCTGACTACTCAGAGATGATCTTCTTTGCGCAGTCTTTTCATGACCAGATAAGCTTTGCCTTGAAGGAGTGCTAGTGTCCACTGTCATTTTAGTTGGTGTTGCTGACAATGTACAGAGTTACAACAGAAAGAGACATGTTAACAGCGATGTCAATTCTGCAATGCAATAATCAAATCACAGGAAGCTTTTCATGAATAAAAAAAGGCTTAAGGCTTGGGCTCTTTTTTTACTCGGATATCCAACAATAATGCAATCCGATGGACTGAAATAGGCTGCTATTGTACTTTTAGAAGTAGAAGTCACTATACAACCTCTGAAAATCTGAGTGGTCAGCAGATCACTGACCCATCAAAAAGGACATTTTCATTTGCACACTTTTCACAAAATGATTATTAACTGCTAGTTATGCATTTAATCAAAGTAAGTAAAGTAGAAAAAGCCTTCACTAGGAAGGCAATTATATTACCAACAGTTGGTGCTTACATGAATGATCTGATACTGCAGTATGTGAAGATTTTCTTGAACTCCTGGAGGAAGCAGAAGGTGTGGGGCTGGTATCAAACCTTTCCAGTGCTTCTTTGAGACTCACTGTGTTTATATGATTGTCAGACCCAGAGTCCTGACTCTGAAGAGACGCACACAAACAACAATTATTTTATCTGATTCAGCACACAATGTACGTTTCTGTTAGCAAATATCTAAGACCATGCTGTGTCTAATCAACCCCCTTACACAGGTGACTGTGCAGAAGTAGTGACCTGGTTGATATCTGTAAGCTCAGTTTGCATTTGTGGCTTTTATCCTTAGAAAAGAAACCAAACCAAAGCCACATAAGCCTAGAAACCAAAATGCATGCAGACATAGGCCACAAACTGCTGAGCTGACCGCCTTCTCTAACAACTCAATTCACTCTGAACACTTGTGTCATGAGTGAACTGCTTACTCTTTTGAGGAAGGATGAGTTAATTCCTTTAGAAGGAGCACTGTCAAATGAAATTTGCTGAACTGCTAAGGGAAAACATTTCTGAACTGCCAGAGGAAAACATGACAGAGCATCTGCACCAGCTGGCTTATCTAAGACTCACTGAGCTTCGAAGGACATTTAATTCAAAATGAATTTTGTATACTTCTACAAAGTGGGACAGTCACACAATGGAACAGTTCCTGCTTTCCTCTTGTGAATTCCTTTAAGCCATCTTTGTGTGTTGACCTTGGTTTTTTGGACTATGGGTGCTTCCAGTAAGGAAGAACATTTATTTATGAATCAAACTCTGCAGGAATCAGATCGTAATAAGGACTTATGGATGTTGCCGTGTTATAACTACATGCACATGAACTCCTGAAAAGAGGAGGGTAAGTGTTCAGGGCAGAATACAGTTAAACAAACACCCTTCCTAGACTTCTTTGATAATTTTAAATAGTCATATTATTTAGAGATCAAAATAATTACTTCATCTGTAACAGGACAAAACACTTCTTGCTGCTGTGTATTTGCTTACATATTATTTTTAGTATGAAAGAAAGAAGAGGTAAAATAAAATTATATAACACACTCACTTTATCTGCTGTTATCTCTGGAAGAGACTCCTCAATACCAAGTTCTCGTCGTCTTTCTGCTCTAACTTCTGCATAACTAGACAAGAAAACAAATATGACTACTATATTCTTAGATGATTTAAAAAACATACCTCAATGACCTGGATGAGGGGATCGAGTGCACCCTCAGTAAGTTTGCAGATGACACCAAGTTGGGCGGGAGTGTTGATCTGCTCAAGGGAGGAAGGCTCTACAGAGGGATCTGGACAGGCTGGATCAATGGGCCGAGGCCAACTGTATGAGCTTCAACAAGGCTAAGTGCCAGGTCCTGCACTTGGGTCACAACAACCCCATGCAACGCTACAGGCTTGGGGAAGAGGGGCTGGAAAGCTGCGCAGCAGAAAAGGAGCTGGGGGTGTTGGTCGACAGCCGGCTGAACATGAGCC